AAGTTCTGCACTCTGCCCCACGTCCGGACTTCTATCATCGAGGCCGTTAGTGTGGAGGTGGAATCACCAACTGGAAACGTCCGGTTTATCGCAGTTTACTGCCCACGCCAGTGCACCGCCAACAACGGATTAGGAACTCAATTCAAGAACGACCTGACCGCCATCACCCGTACTAGCTCCCGATTCATCGTTGGGGGCGACCTGAATGCCCGCCATGAAGCTTGGCGGAACCGGAATGGATGTCTATTGTTCGACCACGCACAACATGGACTGTACACTGTGCAGTTTCCGGACGAACCAACTTTTATCTCTCCGGCGGGAAATCCGTCCACCCTGGACTTTTTCCTGTCAAACATCGTACTATCCAAGCCGGAGGCGCACAACGATCTCAGCTCCGACCACCAACCGGTGGTGACTGAAGTCGGTGTCAACGTGGTTCCTGCTAGAAGCTGCCTGCGTAAAGACTACCACCATGTCAACTGGGTGATTTAGTTTTAGTGCAATCAAACCCTATGGGGGTAGGACAAAAACTACAGAGTATGTGGCGTGGCCCATACACAGTAATGGAAATTCCTAGTGAACAAACCGTGGTAATACAGAATGGGAAGAAATTAGAAAAAATCCACGTCAATCGTATAAAGCGATACAATGATTAATCAATGAACAATGAAAAGTACGCGGAACAAATTCGTCAGTACCGACAAATAATTATTTATTTATCGATTATTATATACATAATATTTATATTATAATTAAGAACAGAGAGACACACATATTAAAATAACAATTAAAATTTGGATGTTACTCCAGGAGATGGCTATGAAAATGGAAAGAATACTGCGAGCAAATAATAAAAATATTATTGAAAAAAAAAGAAGTGATAAACTGTAGCTAATGTATAAGAGGGATACATGGAATGTTTGTGAGAGAGTGCGTTAGACAAGGGAAAACGTTCCCGGAACGAATGATGTATATGGTGATGATTAAATTGAATAGTAATATAAACAAATAATAAGAATAAAAATCGAATGGATATTATTGACTAAATGATAATGACCCCGGGGTATGTAGATATAAAATTAAGTATTGTTATTTGAAAATGAATTTATGGAATAACCAGAATGATAAGAGACAATTGAAAATTGTAAAGAAAAAGTATATATTAAATTTCAATTGGGATTAATAAGGAATTGAACAAAATGTTCAAAACATGCATATATGGAGATGGAAACATGAAAGCGAAGCTTCAGATAAAGTTTAAAAAAAATGAAAACAAAGGTAAAAACATATATAGTTAATAATAGTAAACAGTATTTTCTAATATAATTAGTGATGAAAACATTTCAAAGAGATACAAAAAAATTCGACCTATATGTAATGCATGCAGTAATTGAATGATTCAGCTAATAAAACAAATGTATTCATCAAAAAAGAGCAAAATATTTTGCAGTACGATTTTGAATGGATCGAAGAGCTAAGGATTGACATTACAGCACACAATATGGGTTAAATTACTGAAAAACAATTACAGATTTATACAATAATTTCATTAAAAAAAAAAAAAATTTCACGTTGAAAAATAATACTTATTTTTTTTTTTTTTTTTGTTAATTACTTTATTTGTACAGGCTCATTCGAATAAACTTTACAGAGCCAAGTTATCATTTTCTTTATACATTATAAATGTCTTAAATCTAAAATTAAAGGATTGGAACCGATTACTCGCGGTCTTCTCGAGGTTAGTGGATGACAATTGTTTGGATCGGGAGAGGGAAAAGGAGATTTGGAATATGATTTATGATTCAAAAATTTCACTATTTCTAAAACAAATACTTAATCCTATCGACGTTATATCAACTCTGTAATTATGCAATTATTACAGAAACAAATCTACAAAAAAAAAAATACACACACACATACAAAACACAAACTAAACACAAGGTTAATCAAATTTACAATCTATGGTTAATATTCTTCAAGAAAACATATATGAGTTGCATAAACTCCAGATCGCGTCTAGCCAAAATATCCCGAACTGGAACATTAGGTTGTCTACCTCGAGCCCGAAGGGAATCATACAACTCGGATCTGACTCCACGGTGCTCAGCACATGACCAAGTAATGTGATCTGCGTCCTGGTAACCTTGTCCACATTCACAGAGATTACTGTCGCCCAGCTCAACACGGAACAAGTGAGCGTTTAACGAGTAGTGATTGGACATGAGGCGAGACATCATACGAATGAAGTCTCGACCCACATCCAACCCCTTGAACCAAGGACACTTCGACACCTTAGGGATGATTGAATATAACCATCGTCCCAAACTCCCTTCACTCCATTTATTTTGCCAGCTGGCGAGGGACTGTTGACGATAAATGAAGAAAAATTCGTCGTAGGCGATTTGTCGATCGTAAATATCGCCTTCCATAGCGCCCACCTTTGCAAGCGAGTCCGCCTTCTCATTGCCCGGAATCGAGCAATGAGATGGGACCCATGCAAAGGTGATGACAAAAGATCTTAAAGATAAAGCACTTAGAAGCTCTCGTATTTTCATGAGAAAATACGAGGAGTGCTTTACCGGCCTCATGGAGCGAATAGCCTCGACAAAACTGAGACTATCCGTAAAAATAAAATAATGATCTGGTGCAAGTGAGGCGATCGTTTCTAGCGTATAATGTATTGCCGCCAGTTCAGCAACATATACGGAACAAGGAGCATGAAGCATTCGAGAGGCGCTATGAAATTCGTTATAAATACCAAAACCAGCGGACGCCTCTATTAGTGATCCATCTGTGAAGAACGATCTTGCGGAATCAACTTGGCCAAACTTTGCAGCGAAAATTGACGGAGCAATCATGGAACGATGATGCTCTGGGATTCCGCGAATCTCTTGCGTCATGGATAAATCAAAATGAACAGAATTGTCGAAGTCGGAGAAGCAAACACGATAGGGATTATGCTGCGAAGGGCTGACATCCTGTGTTATGTACACGTAGTACAATGACATAAAACGAGTTTGAGGGTTTAGCTCAAGAAGCTTCTCAAAGTTTGCAATCACCAGTGGGTTCATAATTTCACAACGGGTGAGGAGCCTGAGGGATAATTCCGAAAACCGATCAGAGAGTGGCAACATGCCCGCTAACACTTCGAGACTCATCGTATGAGTCGAGTGCATGCATCCTAACGCGATACGAAGACAGCGATACTGGATCCGTTCCAGTTTGATGATGTGCGTTTTAGCCGCCGACTGGAAGCAAAAACTACCGTACTCTAAAACCGATAAAATCGTTGTCCGGTACAACGTTAGAAGATCTTGCGGATGGGCTCCCCACCACGTTCCGGTAATTGTTCGGAGAAAATTGATCCTTTGTTGGCATTTCCGCTTCAGATACTCAATGTGGGATCTCCAGGTGCATTTTGAATCGAACCAGACCCCAAGATATTTGAAGGACATAGAATGAGTGATCGGTTTACCCAAAAGTTGAAGCTTTGGTTGTGCTGGGCTATGCTTCCTAGAAAAAACGACCAACTCAGTTTTCTCCGTGGAGAATTCGATACCTAGCTGGATAGCCCAAGTAGACAAATTGTCTAAGGTATCCTGTAAGGGTCCTTGCAGGTCGGCCTCTCTGGGTCCTGTCATAGACACTACTCCGTCATCTGCAAGTTGTCTCAACGTGCAGTTGTCCCTTAGACAATTGTCAATTTCTCTGACGTAGAAATTATACAGAAGGGGGCTTAAACATGAGCCCTGGGGGAGACCCATGTAGCTAAATCGTGAAGCTGTAGAGTTTCCATGAGAAAAGCTCATATGTTTCTCTGACAGCAAATTGTACAAAAAGTTATTAATTAATGGAGAAAGGCCACAAGCGTGGAGTTTGTCTGAAAGGACTTCAACCGATACTGAATCAAAAGCCCCCTTAATATCCAAGAAGACAGAAGCCATTTGCTCTTTATTAGCAAAAGCCAACTGAATTTCAGTGGAAAGCAACGCGAGACAGTCGTTCGTTCCCTTGCCCCTACGGAAACCAAATTGAGTATCTGAGAGTAGGTGGTTCAACTCAACCCATTTGTCCAGACGAAAAAGGATCATTTTCTCCATCAATTTTCGAATGCACGATAACATCGCAATGGGACGATACGAATTGTGATCTGACGCGGGTTTTCCAGGCTTTTTAATGGCTATAACTCTCACCCGCCTCCAATCATCCGGAACAATATTGAGCTCCAGGAACTGACCAAACAAGTTCAACATGCGCCTCTTAGCGACGTCTGGGAGGTTCTTCAACAAGTTGAACTTGATTCTATCAGCCCCCGGAGCCGAATTGCCACACGAAAGGAGCGCGAGTGAGAGTTCCAGCATTGAAAAAGGCTGGCTGATCTCGTCTACCGAATTCGTCGTTTCGCGAGGAATCATCTGTGCCGGCACGGAATCAGGACATACTTTTCGCGCGAACTTGAGAATCCAACGATCTGAGTACTCCTCGCTCTCGTTGTTCGAAGACCGGTTACGCATCCTTCGCGCCGCGTTCCAAAGCGTATTCATCGACGTTTCGCGCGATAACCCGTCCACGAATTGCCGCCAGTATCCGCGTTTCTTGGCTTTGATGAGGCTCTTGAGTTCGCGTTCAAGAGCCGAGTACGCTTCGAAATGTACGGGTGTTCCACGTTTCCGGAAAAGCTTAAACGCGTCGGACTTTTTACGATAAACCTCAGTGCATTGCTGGTCCCACCAAGGGGAAGGAGGTTTCCTACGGAAAGACGTTCCTGGAACCGGCCGAGTTTGAGCTTGAAGCGCGCTGTCTAAGATCAGATTGGAGAGGAAGTTATATTCCTCCAACGGTGGTGTCGTGATTTCCGGTGGTCTGTTCGCCAGGTGCCCTAACGAACATATGATGATCCATGATCAGGTCTCGCTCGCTGCTGCGGTGCCTGCTGCTGTTTGCGTCCGTCCGCTTTGTCGTCCGACTGCTGAGTGAGCCACGTAATGTGGCACTGTACCTTATGTAGGTGCTTGCTGCGGTGCTTGCTGCTGTTTGAGTCCGTCCGCTTTGTCGTCCGACTGCTGAGTCAGCCACGGAATGTGGCACTGCACCTTATGTAGGTGGCTGCTGCTGTGCTTGCTGCTGCGATGCTTGCTGCTGTTTGCGTCCGTCCGCTTTGTCGTCCGACTGCTGAGTGAGCCACGGAATGTGGCACTGCACCTTATGTAGGTGGCTGCTGCTGTGCTTGCTGCTGCGATGCTTGCTGCTGTTTGCGTCCGTCCGCTTTGTCGTCAGTCAATCGAATGAGCAACGGAATATGGCACAGTTACTTTTATACCATACTCGCTGCTGCTGTTTTGTTTTGCCATTCACCAGTTTAGATAATTTTTACTACATCGAGATTTTAAACGTCCAAATGAAGCTAAAATCCCCTTTTTTTTTCAGCGAGGTGGAATTCAAGGGATACGAAATCTTTCAAGTCTCAAAACAATTTTTATTTCAGGAGATATTTATTTATTTGTCTCTTTCACTTTTATTCTCTACAATACCTCTGTCCTCTACTCTGTTATTTAAAAAAAATGTCTTAATATAATCGTTTTTTTTTTCTTTTTTTTTTTTTTTTTTGTAGCTTTCAAGTCTGAAAACAATTAAATTTTATTTCAGGAGATATTTATTTATTTGTCTCTTTCACTTTTATTCTCTACAATACCTCGGTCCTCTACTCTGTTATTTTTATTAAGAATTAAAAAAAAAATGTCTTAATATAATCGTTTGTTTTTGTTTTTGTTTTATTTAGTTTCTTTGTAGTAGTAACAATATTCATTAGTTTCGTTAAATTATGCCGTCAAGCTCGATTCCTGTGTGACTTCTGCAGTTGCTCTCTTCTATGTAGATCCGTTTTGGAGTGTTCTTCTGTGGTTTGATTATCTTTTGTTATTCAAAAATGCTGTACAGTATCATGTCTTTGAATCTGTTCGGTTTTCTTGTCGCTCGCGATGGACGCTGCATCACTTGTATATTTTCATCTAACGTGTCCTCAAGTTCAATTCCAGTTTCACTTTCATGGTTTTCTGTTTCTGTGTTTGTGATTCCCAATTCAGTGTCATTGTTGACCGTTTTATCAGCAAGCTCTTGTAGATCTTCTGGAACCTTCTTAACCTCCTGAACGTTACGAGAGTATTGAATCCCGCTTTTACTCCGAATTATCACTTTTGCTCCATCTCTTGCAATTATCGAGAATCTTTCAGCAGAAAATTCCGGGTCCGACTTACGCTTCTTCGGAATTGCGACTAAAACTGTATCCCCTACTTGAATATTCGAATCTTTAGCTCTTCTTTGGCTGTCTGCGTATTTTTTACTCTCAAGTTTAGAAATTGCATCCTTCTCCTTAATATCAGTGCGATCTAATATTTCAGTACAATTTGATTCCCAAAGGCTGGGGAATGTCCCACGGAACTTCCATCCCACCAATAACTCAAAGGGTGTAACTCCAAAGCGTGATAGTGGCCGAACTTTGTTATGCGCATGGACATACCTCTCCAAAGCTGTTCTCCAGTTGATATTGTCCAATTTGGCGGCTGCCAAAGCATGCTTGATTCCGATATTTTGTCTTTCTACCGCGCCGTTCGATTGAGCACTCAACGGGATAGACTTTCGTATTTTGATGCCTCTGTCTTCCCATATCTTAACGAACTTATCACTCTGGAAAGGTGGTCCGTTATCGCTCTGTATTGCCATAGGATAACCCCACACTTCAAAAATTTTTGCTAGTGCGGAGTTTGTTGTTTCGGCATCGATGTTCTTTACTTCAATGACATGGATGTACCTGGAGTAGGTGTCAACAACCACCAAAAACTCTCCATGGCCGAAATCTTTATCGGTAAAAAAATCGATTTGTAAGATTTCCCATGGTCCTTGTGGAAGTTCTCTATTTGTAAGAGGAAGTGGTGCGTTTTTCTTCGATAATCTAAGGCATGTTTCGCATTTTTCTATATGCTTCTGTACCTCTTTGCTCATTCCAGGCCACCAGAAGTGGTTACGCAAGATTCGTTTCATTGATGATGTCCCCATATGACCCTGATGTGCTAGTTCCATTGCTTTTGTCCGCAAGTTAATAGGCAATATTACGCGATCCTCCTTGAAAATCAGGGCACCCAGTACTCGTAAATACTTGGCTTGGCATTCGTAGGCTCGCAACTCTGTATTCCATGTACCAGATTTAAGGGATTCTCTGATGTCCGCCTGTTCTTTGTCGTTCTCAGCTTCTAATTCGATTTCGTTCCAATTCATCTTCATATTTCCCATGTCAAAGACGAATAATAAATGTCCTTCGCAAGAGTCGTCGAATGATTCGGCTGGTGTGCTATCGATCACTAATCTTGAGAGAGTGTCTGCAATATTCATGTCACCTGGAACACTCTCGACCGAAAAATCATATGTCTGCAATCTTAGTGCCCAGGCCTCAGCCCGCGAAACAGCCCTCTTTCCAATTCGATGCATGCCTCCAAAAATAAATTCGTTGGATTTAGCATCTGATCTAATCTTAAAGGTTGTACTCATTAGATAATTGGAGAACCTTTCTACACCCCAAACCATGGCCAAAGCCTCTTTTTGAGTATGTGGGTATTTCTGTTCGGCCGAAGATAATGCTTTTGAAGCACACGCAATGACTCTTGGCTTAGAATCGCTATTAAATTGGACCAAAACAGCACCTAAACCATGTGGTGAAGCATCCACGTAGAGTTCGGTTTCATCAGTCTGACAGTAATAGCCCAAGGTTTTGACCTTCGTCCAGGCTTCCCATCTTAAGTAATCGAATTCCTGGTCCAACTCTTCAGACCAGTAGAACCGTTCCGCTCTCGCAAGCTCCCTTAACCTCCAAGTCTTGTCTGCCCGGTTATGAATGAATCTGTCAATGTAGTTTATCAAACCCAAGAAGCTCCTGACTTCATCTTGATTTTCAGGTCTACGGAAATGTTGGATAGCCTTAATTTTCTCGTCCTCTATACTCCAACCGTTAGCTGACAAATTGAAGCCCAAAAACGTCACTTCTTGTTTGTGAAATACACATTTACTTTGATTTAGTTTGACGTTGTGATTTTCCAGATGTTTTAAAACTTCTGCTAGGTTTCTATCATGCTCCTCCTTTGTTTGGCCGACCACTAGGACATCATCCAAGTAGTTGACTGTGCCCTTGCATCCCGACAGTACAACGGACTGCATAATCTCTTGAAAAATGTCAGGAGCATTGCATAAGCCAAAAGGTAGCCGACGACATCTGTATAATGCATCGCCTGAGAAGAAGTTTGTCAAATGCCTACAGCGCTCGTCTAGGACGACATGGAAGAATGCACTTTTAAGATCTATGGTTGAAAACCATTTTGCCCCATGCAGTTCCATTAGTATGGATTCAAAAGTCGGCATTTTAAACGGCGTCCTATAAATGCATTTGTTCGGGCCTCTTAAATCGATGACCAGGCGAATGTCGTTCTTTCCCTTCGGTACTACTAGCAGAGAGGAACAAAAAGATCTATCCATATCTTCCGTAACCGGTTCAATGATTCCAGATGACAAGAGCTCACTGAGTTTCTGCTGGGTCAATCTTTTGAAACCGGCCGGGATATGCGTATACACATTTCTAGCTGGGGGCAAATCCATATTGTAGCGCAGTAGTACTGGTGGAACGTTGAATTTCGGAAATTCCTCTGAGACTGAAGCTGATACTGTGTTCATCATAGCGAGCTCGCATTTCCATATGCTGCCGTATCCACCAATCGGAACTCTTAGCCCCAAGTCTAATAGGCTGTATCGGGCTGCTGTGTTAAAGCTCAATAACGATCGCGCCTCCTCAACAACGTAAAACTTTTCTAAATAGACCGGTCTCTCTTTAGAAACATACAGTTTTGCCGAAAAGGTTGCTGTCACTTTGATTTCTCCCGGTGAAGCATACGCACGCAATGTTTTATCCGATGAGTAACATACGTCATGCAGCTTAGACACGGTGGACTTATTCTGAGCAATCTTGTCCCATATTCTCTTTTCAATAGTATTCACTTGAGCCCCGGAATCAATGAAAAAAATTACACATTTCCCGGCTACTCGGCCAACAACATAAGCATCTTCTTCTGTCGGTGGATCGAAAGCAGGTACAGCGCATTGTAGCTCGTCAGTACAATTGGTAGTTGAAGAAGTTTCAAAATAATCTTCTGCTAGATCCTGTAAACGTAAGGATAATTATAATTGGGTCATTGAAAGTCTTCCTTAAAAGCTCCCTTATCTCACATTCGTTAGCATCGTATGAAGGGTCAATTTTTTTTTTTTTTTGTATGATTGCAGCAGGATGCGACATCGAACCAAAATCGCTTCTTTCAGAAGACACTCGACCCTAACAACCATTCGAACTCATTTATTAAGCCGTCTGCGACCCCAAATATGGAAACCTTCTTAAAGAGAATTTAAAAATTGCTTTACTCAAAATTTTCATCTTTCAAATATTTTATTCGCCTTGTCAAATTATAAGTAACAAACTTTATTTCAAATTCAATTTCAATGTGAGATAAGAAAGCCTCGAAGATATTTCAAATTATTCTTGTTTAACATTGTCTTGTACCTTGCTCTCGTTGTCTTCACTGTTTTGCATAATCGCTGCAAGCTTCGGCCTTGGCTCTTCCTCTCCCGGTTCATCGTGCGCTCGCTTCTGGCTCATTCCTTGACGAGACAGGGCTGAACATGTACGAGCTAGATGGCCTCGGCGGTTACAATTGTGGCACACCTTTTCCAGATTTGGGCAATCATAGGTCCAGGTCCATGATACATGCTGGCACATCGCCAGCAAGTGCTTCTAGATGACCCTTGAAAATTTGATTGTCCACGATGATACGCTCCTCTGCCTCGTCGAGTTCCCCGGAATCTTGGTCCTATTCCACGGCGAAACTGAGCTTGGAGGTCTGTAGCTGGTGATAATGCCGCTATTGTTGCGCTGTTTTGACGGTTTAGTTTTTGATACTCTTCCTCGTTAAAAATCTCCATCTCTCGGTCCCGGACCATCGCGATCAAGCTATTCATATCACCTTGGTTGACCCAGTTGCGGTGGGCTAGAATGCGCACACGACTATCGGTTGTTCCCTTTACAATGGTACGCACTACAGCCTCCATCTCTTCTTCGCTCTTGTAGTCGCATAACTTAGCAGCGGCTGCCACTCGTCGTACGAAACATATGTTAGACTCCCCTTTTAATTGCACAGTGTTCATCAACTTTCCTCGTTGGCCGATGATATAAGTCCTCGACCCGAAATATCGATCCAATCGTGCAATCGTGTTGGAGAATGGATGATTCCGTTCATCCGGCATGTCTGTAGTGGACGATGTTCCCTGCATCACCTCCATTAGTTTCGATCCAGCTTTAATTTTGAAGATGTCCATCTTAGCATGTTCATCGGTGGCATGAACTAGATTGAACGAGGCTGTAATCATTTCCTTCCAGTGCTCGTAGGCCTTCTTATCGATATCAGTCTCACCCTCTGATGGCTTGCATTCCGGAATATTAAAAGAACCGAGGGACATATGGTTCATTGTAGCAATTAGAGACTCGTTTCCTGGTGCTTGATGATCGTCAGAAATAGCATTGCATCTGGCTTGATCGTTTTCCGTACTGTTGACTTCCATAGCGTGAAGTAACTGGTCTTTTTCGGACCGTATAGTAGCCAATTCATTTTTGACTGCTAACAGTTCCTCCAATAGCCTCTTCTTTGAGATTTTGCTTTTTGATTTCGGTTTCGCTCTGTAACAAGAAAGACACAATCTCACTTATTATGTTTCGGCAATTAAGGTCAATTGCATTTTAGGATACTGCCTCGACTACAGTTCCGTTTATTTATTTTTTTTTTGCTTTGGGCACTCTGCTTCACCAATCAGAGGCCAATTGTGTTTTCAGGATACTGCCTCGACTACAGTTCCGTTTACTTATTTTTTTTTGTTTTTTTTTTTTTTGCTTTGGACACTCTGCTTCGCCAATCAGAGGCCAATTGCGTTTTCAGGATACTGCCTCGACTACAGTTCCGTTTGTACTTCTCTTATGAGATTATAATTATACTTACAGATTGGGAGATGAAGCGGTTCCAGTACCAGCTGCGCCATTGTCGTGATTTCCGGTGGTCTGTTCGCCAGGTGCCCTAACGAACATATGATGATCCATGATCAGGTCTCGCTCGCTGCTGCGGTGCCTGCTGCTGTTTGCGTCCGTCCGCTTTGTCGTCCGACTGCTGAGTGAGCCACGTAATGTGGCACTGTACCTTATGTAGGTGCTTGCTGCGGTGCTTGCTGCTGTTTGAGTCCGTCCGCTTTGTCGTCCGACTGCTGAGTCAGCCACGGAATGTGGCACTGCACCTTATGTAGGTGGCTGCTGCTGTGCTTGCTGCTGCGATGCTTGCTGCTGTTTGCGTCCGTCCGCTTTGTCGTCCGACTGCTGAGTGAGCCACGGAATGTGGCACTGCACCTTATGTAGGTGGCTGCTGCTGTGCTTGCTGCTGCGATGCTTGCTGCTGTTTGCGTCCGTCCGCTTTGTCGTCCGACTGCTGAGTGAGCCACGGAATGTGGCACTGCACCTTATGTAGGTGGCTGCTGCTGTGCTTGCTGCTGCGATGCTTGCTGCTGCTTGCGTCCGTCCGCTTTGTCGTCAGTCAATCGAATGAGCAACGGAATATGGCACAGTTACTTTTATACCATACTCGCTGCTGCTGTTTTGTTTTGCCATTCACCAGTTTAGATAATTTTTACTACATCGAGATTTTAAACGTCCAAATGGAGCTAAAATCCCCTTTTTTTTCAGCGAGGTGGAATTCAAGGGATACGAAATCTTTCAAGTCTCAAAACAATTTTTATTTCAGGAGATATTTATTTATTTGTCTCTTTCACTTTTATTCTCTACAGGTGGAAGCCCTTCTACCGACGTTAGGGCATCTTCTATCACATTCTTGAACTTTGTCCAATCGATATTACGGGTAAGATCGTACGCGACGTTAACGGGTTCCGACGGATTGAACCCACTGGCAACTGAAACTTTGATCGGCAAGTGATCACTACCGTGGGGATCTTGGATCACATTCCACGTGCAATCCAACGATAATGAGTTAGAGCAAAGTGTGAGGTCTAATCTACTTCCATTCGAGGATGGGCCAGCCAAACGTGTTACTTCTCCATTGTTAAGAATTGTCATATTAAAGCTGTCGCAGAGGTCATATATCAAAGTAGAACGGTTGTCATCATACAGTTCCCCCCAGCCTGTACCGTGGGAATTCAAATCTCCCATAATCAACCGTGGAGCAGGAAGTACCGAACAGATATCTGAAAGTTGTTTGCGATTAACAACGGCTCTAGGAGGAATATAAACAGAAGCAATACAAAGGCTCTTACCTTTAATAATAGCCTGACATGCAACAACTTCAATACCTGGAAATTGTGGAAGATTCACTCTATAGAAGGAATGGCACTTTTTGATCCCCAAAAGTACCCCTCCTCCACGCGAATCCTCACGATCCAGTCGAATAATGTTAAAATCATAAAAAGGAAGATCGATATCTGAAGAGAGCCAAGTTTCACAAACAGCAAATGCATCACAATCATTATTGTGAATTAAAAACTTAAAAGAATCTAATTTAGGAATGAGACTTCGACAATTCCACTGTAGAACAGTGATCAAATCCCCGACCTCGTTTGGAAAATTATCCATCGAAGGAAATGATTGCTGCAATGAGGGGCCACTTCAATGTCAATTGCTTCAAGAGGGTCTTCACAGAAGGAAGCATTGCCAGAACAATGCTTTTGAGAGGATCAGAAATATTGAGGTACTTGAGAATATCGTCCACAATTTTATCAAATGAGAACAACCCGGATGAAGAAGGGGCTTCTGTTCTTAAAAATGGGCCATCAGGGGTTTTTGATGTCCCCGGGAGAGATGGAAAGTTCTGGTTATAGTCAGTTCGGCGGAAACCAGGAGGAGTTGAAACTTCCTTTTTTCCATCACTCCTTGATTTGGGCAAGCTGATTTGGGGTTCCTTATCTGCAACTTTCCGCGAACGGATGCGTTTTCGTTTCCGTGCAGAACCTTCCGGAAAACTGAAAGAAACTCCCTCCTCAGCCAAGTCAGAGTCAGACTCGTCATCAGACAAAACAGCAAAGGGATTTTTGTCGTTGGTCGATGGTGTGGCTGTTTTTAGCATTGCTGCAAAAGACTGCCTGGAACGCTCCTTAAGAGAGCGTTCTAGTTTCTCCCCGCGTTGTTTGTACGCCGGGCACGATGAGAGACCATGAGGAGTTCCCTTACAGTACACGCATTTTGGTGCAGTGACTGTGCAGGCACCATCCTCGTGCTTCTCCCCGCATTTGGAACAGCGTGCCTTGCTGCCACAGTGAGAGGCCGTATGTCCCAACTGTTTGCAATTTTGGCAGTTCATGACCCGAGGAACAAACAAACGCACAGGTAGCCGAAGTTTTCCCAACTCGATGTAGTGAGGAAGGGCTGAACCAGAAAAGGTCACCCGAAACGAGTCTGTGGGGGTAAAGCTCTTTTTACCCTCGCTGAAAGATACTGAGTTCAGCTTCTGGACTTCCAGTATCTCAACCGTGGGAAGCAAGGGGTTCTTGAAACGGCCAACCGCTTGCTTCGCCAAGATCTCGGGGGTCAGACTCGCTTCGGTGACCACACCTTCGATCTCCACATTACGAGCTGGGATGTACACTCTATACTCGAGTGTAAAGAGCTGGGAGGCAGCAATCTCGTTAGCTTGCTTCAGGTTAGAGACGACAACGCGAAGTTTATTGTACCTCACCTTCGAGATTTCGGTCACGGCCGAGAACCGCTTCGTCAGATCATTAGTAATTTGCATTACATTCAAAGGTTTCTTTTTGGGCTGAAAGTAAACAACCCATGGGCCAGTCGAGTCTTCTGGGTAGGCTCGCGATCGGGGGCTTATCTGTCCCTGTCCATTACCAGACTGAGATGACGAACCAGGGATGGCATCATCTGATTTCTGGGATGACAGACGTTTTCGACCCTTCTTGCTATCGCGTGGCAAAGAAGTGTCATCTACCGACAAAACGTCCATTTCGTCTTCCGACAAAATGTCCATTTTGCCGTACTAGTGGGAGCGAAAAACGCTCTACCACTGCAACGATAATCAAAATTACTCGGACACAATACACGAGAAAAAAAAAATACAAACACAGAAACACAAACTTAAAATTTAACTGATGGGAGAAAGAAAGAAACAAGAAACAAAAACTTATCTGATAATCCTATACTACTATCACCGAGCGTTTACACAGCAGCAGCGGAGCGACGCGCAGCTTTGATGATCTTCGATCCGCGTGTGCGGGCGGTCTTCGTTGGTGTGTGCTTGTATGAAGCTCGGCACTCAGCTGAACACACGAGATGGATGAGTGGTTTGAATGTGGAGGCAGATGCTGACACTCGATGACGATAATCCGTGTGCACAGGTATGCGTGACCACGCACCGATGGTGCGCAAAATGGTTGGCGAATTGGCAATCGCAAAAACAATTTTCCTTCCGATGATGCCGAAAACACACTTTCTTCTCAGAAAAAACTCACTTTTTGATAAATTTATCGGGAATTATGCCAGGAATCACTAAGCGAGAAAAAACTGATTATTTACGTCAGATAATAGCGAGAAAACTTCCAAATTAACGG